TCCACCCCCGAGCAAGAGCTCGCGATCCTCCAGTACATCGCGGATATCCGCAGCGAGCCCGTTGCCGAGAGCGTGGACGCGCTGCTCGATGCGGAAGCATCTCGAAAGGCCGCTCCTGTGCTCTCGGCGCTGGAGCGAGAGGGTTGGTTTGGCGACATCGAAGGCGTGGCAACCAGGCGACGCGACGCCGCCACGAACGCGCTGAAGACGTTCTACCTCACCGCGCCATCGGACACCGACGAAGAGAACGACTACGACGGTTACGGCGGCTACGATGATGAAGACGACTTCGAGAGCGAGTTCCCGACCTCCTTCAGTATGGAAGAGATGCCCGCGCTATCACTGGCTGCGATGTCATGGCAGTTCGGGGACTGGCCCACGGCGATCCAGCGAGCGTCGGAGTTGGAAGAGGTGCTCCGTGACCTGGCAAAAGCGAGCCTCGGACTGTTCGAGCTCGGCACGCTCGAGATCGAACAAACGCCCGAGAACTATTACATCGAAGATGGGGACACGCTCTCGGTGATTTTGCGTGGCGAGGGGTTCTCCACAGACTACGATCAAACCTACGCCGCCGAGGCCGACAGGTATGAGCTGATCACGGGGGAGATCACCCATCACCTTGTCCAAAATGTCCTCTCACAGGTCGCGCCAGGTTGGAGGTTGTTCACCTGGCATGTCTGCGAGGACGAGTACATGTATTTTTATATCCCGCCAGCGGTGCGACCGGGCGAATCCATGCTCGGCCCATTCTACGACGGGCTCGACCCTTATTTCTGACGAGGTACCATGGACCGCACCATCAAGGTCATGTTCTTTTGCCTGGGCAACATCTGTCGCTCACCGCTCGCTGAGGGGCTCTTCAAACACGAGGTCGCGCGCCGCGGCCTCGATGAGGACTTCCACATCGAGTCGAGCGGGACGAGCAGCTACCACGTCGGCGAGCTGCCCGATCCAGGGAGCCGCGAGGTCGCCAAAAGGCGCGGTGGGATCGACATCAGCGACCAGCGCTCCCAGCAACTGACCGCCACACACCTCGAATCATTCGATTATCTGGTGGCGATGAGTCACTCCAACATCGCCAACGCGCAGCGATTGCGCGGCGCGGACAAGATCGACTTCTTGCTCCTGCGCGACTTCGAGCCGGACGCGACGCACCATGGCGAGGATGTGCCAGACCCGTGGGGTCACGGTCGATCGGCGTTCGATGAGGTGTATGACATCGTCGAGCGAAGCTGCGCGAACCTGCTCGATCATATCCTCGAGCAGGAAGGTCGCGCCTGACGCGCCACGGCTCCATATGCCAGCGCACTCACTCCTTTGGCGCTTCTGGAGCCTCTTCTTTTGCTCGCGTCTCCGTCTTCTCTTGCTCGATCTCTTCGATGGCCTGGTTCACGCGCTTCGTGGCGCGCTTGGCGGCGACGTTCGAGGTCGGCTTGGTGAGGTATTGTTTGTAGTGATAGATCATCCAGTTGAGCGCCTTGGTTTCGACGCTGTTCTCTCGCTCGCCAGCGAGCATCGCGTGATGCAGATACTCCCAGCAGGCATCCCCGATGTTCAGGTGCAGCACCATCCTGTCAGGCACGCGGCGTGAGAGGTCGTGCATCGGCTCTAGCGCGCGGCGCAGGTCCTCGATCTCCTCGCTCTTTGCGAGGAAGAAGAGCAAGTCATTGAGGATCAGCGTGGTGCGGTCATTATCGGGCAAGAGCACGACGCGCACATGGCGAGGGTCGTCGGGCTTGGCGTAGACCCTGCGCGCGGGACCGACCGCGAGCGGCACGAGCTTGTTGCGGTAGCCGAGCTTGATAATCTTCCCGTAGTCGTCCTCGAGGATCACCCCCAGGCTGTGCGCCGAGTTATCGAACAGCAGGCGCGCCAGCGCGATCGCCTCCTCGGTCTTCTTGGCCTTGTGCGCCTCGAGCGCCTTCTTGCGCACGACCTCGAGAAAGCGCAGGTGTTGCGCGGCGAACCACCTCGCGTTCTGCTCGTACTCGAGCGTCTTCGCGAAGGAGAGGAGGTGTTGTCGCGCGGCCTCGATGTCGTCCTTTTTGAGCGCCTCGTCGAAGTCGCGCATCGTCTGCGCCGAGATGCCCGAGTAGTAGGCGTGTTCTTCGCCACCGGGCAACGCATCGCGGAGCATCACCTGATGGCTCTCGCTCCAGCTCCACCGCGCGTCGCAGTTCTTTTCTCCGCCCTCTTCGTACACATCACCACATCCCACCGACATGTTGACCGTTTGCTTGTCGCGATCGATCTCCACGCGCATGCCCGTGTCCGTGATGATGCCCGCCCCGAGCTTCTGGTGAAACAGTCGCTCGCCATCCTTCCAGATCGAGATGTTGACGCGCGTGTCGTAGTAGGCGTGCCCTGCGAACTGCTCGCATCGCTCGACGACGATGATTTTATCCTTTCCAAAGAGGTGGGGAACCGTCGACTTGCTGTGATCGTAGCTGGGCTCATCCGGGATCTGGTCACAATCGAGGACATCAGCCGTGGCGATCGATGGCGTGAGCGACAGGAGGAGAAATCCGATCAGCGTCGATAATGTTTTCATCGGTGTCTCGATAGCTCGGGAGCGCGGGATGTTTACGGCCGGGCGACCCCGGCATGATTTTTGGTTATGGCATAACGCGAAGAAGGCGCCGGACCTGTCGGTCGGCGCCTTCTTTTAACAAAGCCTCACCCAAAAATCATGCCGGGGTCGCTCCGGATGTTTCGTGAGCGCCAGCGCGAACCTCTCTTATACGGAGGCTCGCCACGCTCAGAGGTTTGCCAGCGCGGTCTTGCTCGGCTCGTGGTCTGGGTTGACGCCGAGCGCGCGGTTGAACATGTCCTTGGCGCGGCGCGCGTCGTCCTTCTGGAGACGGACCTGGCCGAGGTAGTAGTACATGTCGACCTTGGCCTCGTCGTCGGTGATCTTCATCTGGTGGAGCAACAAGGTCTGGAGGATCTTGAGCGCGTTATCCCAATCTTGCTGGTGGTAGTAGACCTTGCCGAGCGAGAGGAGGTTGGGCACGTAGGTCGCGTCGATCTTACGAGCTGCCTCGTAGTCTTCGAGCGCGCCAGCGAGGTTGCCCTGCTCTTCGGAGAGCTTTCCGCGCAGGTGGTAGAAGCGCACCACGTCCTTCATGCGACGCTTCTCGGTGAGGGCGTTGATGACCTCCTCGAGCAGCGGCGTGGCGCGATCGAACTGACCGGCCGAGATGGTGGCGTCGAGCAGCGGCTCGACCACGTCGAGGTCGTCGGGCTCGAGCTGGTAGGCCTTCTCGAGCGCGTCGGTGCGAAGATCTGCCCTGTCCATGCGCTTTGCGACCTGCGCCATGTCCAGATACATCTGCTTCTTCTGATCCTCGGCCATGGCGTCCACGCGGAAGCTCATCACCTGGTAGAGTTGCTCCCAGGCTTTGAGTTCGTTGAGCAGGTTCACCAGGGTCTCGTAGGCGTGCGCGTGATCGATGTCGAGGTTAAGGACCTCGACGTAATCGTCGATGGCAGCCTGCGGTTGACCGAGCGTGTCCTTGTTCAAGGCCGCGCGACGGAGCAGGAGCTCGATCTTGGTCTCGTTATCTTCGGCGGCAGCGAACTGCTCGCCGAGGATCGCGGTGACCTGACCCCAATCTCCCATATCGGTGTAGAACTTCTCCTTGACGAGCAACGCGGGCATGTAGCTCGGGATCACGCTGAGCGCGAAGTCGAGGTATTGCACGGCGGTGTTCATATCACCGAGCCTCTCGCCGCTGATGCGGGCCATCTCGACAGCGAGTTCAGCGCGGCGGTCGGCTTCGGCGACCTGACCGAGCTGGGAGTAGTAGAGGTTGAAGAGGTCGACCCAACTCTCTTCGGCGCGATAGATCTCGTCGAGCGCCTCGGTGATGATGGCCGAGGTCGGCGAGAGCTCGTAAGCCTCCTTGAAGAGCTCGATGGCGCGCTCGGTGTCGTTGTGATGCTCGTAAGAGATCTTTGCTCTCGAGCACATGACGCGGACGCGATCCTCCTCGGACTCGGCGAGCTCGAGTTGTTGGTCGAGGACTTCGCCGAGCTTGTCGAGCTGGCCGGTCTGCGAGTAGAGCGGCTCGATGGCGCGCAGCAGCTCGGGGTTGCCAGGAGACATCTCCAGGGCGCGCTCGTAGTAATCGAGCGCGCGCATCGGATCTTCGAGGTGCGTGGCGACCTCGCGGCCGATGCGCTGGCAGAGCGCGAGTCGGCGCTCTGGATCGGTGCTCATGGCGAGGAGTTGCTCGAGCTGCTCGACCATATCGAACCACTGCTCGGTGACCTCGTAGAAGCCCACGAGTGATTCGATCACGTCCGCGTCGCCGGGCTCGATCATGGCCGCCTCGCGCAACGCGTCGATGGCGTCCATGTAGTTCTCTTGTTCGGCGTGCAGGTGCCCGAGCTCCTGGAAGATCGCGAAGCGCTCCTCAGGCTCGTAGAGCAGCTCGACCTTTTGCTTGAGCCAGTCGATCAGCCCGGTTTGATCGCCGCGTTGGCGCGAGATCATCTCCATGGCGTTGATGGCGGTGAGGTTCTGAGGCTCGACCTCGAGCGCCACCGTGTAGAGGCGGTGCGCGCGCTCGAGATCATCCTCGAGCTGCAACCTCGACCACTCGGCGGCCTTGAGCGCGAGCTCTCCGCGACGCACCGGGTCATCGTTGTTCTCGATGATGCCATCGTAGAGATCGACCAGACCTTGCCAGTATCCCTGCTCGGCGCCGAGCTCTTCGAGCATCTCCTGAGTGTCGATGGCGAAGGGGTCCTCGATGAATGCCCTGCCGAAGTATTCGAAGGCAGCCTCGTAGTTTTCTTCGCGATCACGCTCGAGCTTTGCCACGCGGCACATCAACTCGGCGCGCTCGTGCGGAGCATCGGCGAGGTGTTCGAGCTTGATCTTGAGGAGCTGGACGAGCTTGCCCCAGTTCTCGGTTTGCATGTAGGCGCGCTCGAGCAAGTCGCAGACCTCGGCCTGGAGGGACTCGTTCTCGATCAGGCGCTCGAGCGCCTCGGTCACCTTGCGGTGCTCGGGCTGCTCGTCGATGACTTGCCTGTAGAGGTCGAAGGCATCGAGCGGCTGGTCGAAGATGCGCTCGCGCAGATAACCGAGGCGGTAGCGCGCCTGCGCGAGCGCCTCGGGAGGCGCCACAGCGATCTGGCGCTGGAGCACATCAGCCAGGTCATCGTAGCGCTCCTTGAACTGGTAGAGCTTGTCGAGCAGTTCGAGCGCCTTGATGTGGTACTCGTCGATCTCGAGCACTGCCTCGAGGTGCGTGATCGCGGGATCGGCCTCCTCGCGCTCGTCGATATAAAGCTCGCCGAGGCGCATGTGGAGGTTGAGCGCGACGTTGCTGTCGTCGATCCCCTCTCCGAGCGCGTCCTCGTAGAACCCGATGAGCATCTCCTGACCGTCGAGCTCCTCGGCGAGGCGCTCGAGCTGGACGCGGACGGACTCCTGCGTGGGCATATCGCGGAAGGCGCGACCGTAGGTCATCAAGGCACTCGAGGATGACCCGAGCTGACCTTCCTGGAGGTTTGCCAGCTTGAGGAACGTCCCGGTGCGTTGGTGAGGATCCTCGAGGTAGTCGATGCGCTTCTCGTAGAGAGAGGCGAGCTGATCCCAGCGCGCGTTGGTGCGGTGGAGCTCTTCGAGCGCGGAGAATGCCTCCTCGCGGACCATCTCGTTATCGAGCAACGCGCCCATGGTCTCGATGGCGTCGGTCCACTCGGGATCGCGCTCGGCGATCCTGCGCAGACGCTCGAGCGCCTCGAAGGGTTGGTCGACGCGGTCGAGCATGATCTCGGCCATGCGGAACTCGACCTGGTTGATCGAGTCCACGTCTCCGGCGAACTCGCGTTGAACCTCGAGCATCTCGAGCAACTCGTGCCACGATCCTTGCTCGCCGTAGAGCGAGACGAGCGCGCGCACGGCGAGTTCGTCCGCATCATCAAGGGTGAAGATGCGACGGTAGGTGTCGATGGCGCCGATCTTATCGTCGACGATCTCGTGTTGGATTTGCGCGAGCTTCTTGAGCGTGCCGAGCTGCTCGTCACGATCCTCGATCATCTCGACGCGAGCCTGCAGGGCGTCGACGAGATCATGATCGCGGCCGGTGCGCTCGTAGAGCGCGCACAGCGCGTCGAGGTAGGAGCGTGAGGACGCGTCGAGTTCGCGAAGCTCCTCGTAGGCGCGGATCGCCTCGTCTGGCTCGTCGAGGATGTCCTCGTGGAGGTTGGCGATACGCAGCAAGAGGTTGATGCGACGCTCTCCATCGAAGGTGTTGTCGAGCATC